GAGTAACGTGAGTGTTGGTCCCAGTTGTGGTGGGATAATGCCAACCATTTTAGGGAATTTAATGCCCATTAATTCCCAAAAGAAATCCTCACATTAATTTATCAATTTCTATGCTACCTATCCCTGTTGGTCCACTTTCACTCAAGTTTTCTCTGGAAGGAGAAAAGAATTTTTTACTGTTCAGTTAAATCTATGACCCAAGACCAACATTTTTTCACAATTATTTCAAATTGCCTTGGATTTTTTTGAAGTTCAAGCTTATAGTCACCTGAGATGCTGGCAAACACACCAGGTAGACATCATCTTCCTTGGACTACTTGGCATTGATTTTCTGCACCAGTTTCATTGCACAGCCAGCCTCAACTTTGTCCCCTATACCGCACCTTAAAAAATATTCGGTTTTCTTTTATTTCAATTTTATTTCAATTTTATTTCAATTTTCTTTTATTTCTTTTATTTCAATTAATTCATGTTAAATTAACATCCTTCTTTCCACCCTGCAGCTTAAGAGTCACCCTTGCTCTTACAATAAGCCTTACACAACCAATGAGCTACTAACAGCCAGCTCCTGTGTGAAAACTTCCTGCACAACCCTCTCCCATCCACATGTTCCTAACAGAAAACTTGACATTATTCCCAAGATTCCCACTCAAAAAACCATCTGGAAACCAAGATCTACTGTCCCAACAGCAGCTAAAACACCCCAATAATCAGTGCAGAGCTAAAACCAGGAGTGCATTGTGATTTTGTTGGCCTATGTTAATGCAGAGCTGGCTTTGAAAGTTGCTCAGGGTACACTTGAAGGTTTCACAGGACATTTGCTGACAAATCAGTGTTTGCACTCAGAGTAGGGCAGATAGAGGGGCTTTTTTTAAAGAGCCAGAAGGAAGTTGCTCTTCAGTGCTCTGAAGATGAGGGTAGTTGGGGAGATCTGTTTATACTCTAGGAAATACCTTCTGCTCCAAGCAGAACTTTTCCTTGCATTACCAACCTGCAGACCCCTACCCCAAGCAGTGGCTTGGCCCTGAAAAGGGTACAAGCACCATTTTTCAAGTGCAAATACAACATATTTGATTCAGAACTTCATAGCCACAGTCACAAAAGCAAGCAGAACCCTCAAATTAGAGCAAAGCCTGCAATTCGCCCTGTTAAGGTGGCCTGGCTCTGGTGCTCACACACAGACCCTTTAACACTGGGCACAGCTCTCACCACAGAGGGGGAGAATTCCAGAAGTAGATACATTATGAGCAGACACAACCAGCTGGTGTAGGATTGGGGTTATTTCATGTGAGGGAATACAAGCAACAGCAGCAAGAAAATCCCTCCTGCACAGCTGGATTTAAGCATTGCCAACTGCATTACTTCCATAACACATAATGTTCATTTGTTCATTCATTCTTACTATCCCATTGACTTACCTGCCTAATTTACAGTACACAAACCCTTCAAGGTATGGATTTTGGCATCTCATGGAACAGCAGCAGTGTTCAGCAGAAGCAGACAAGGGCACTGCCTTGTCTGGGGACCCTCACAGCACTTCCCAGCAGCACTGGATTTGCCCAGAGCAGACATAGTTCATCCCATCTTTGATATTAAGCTTGACTGATACTTCTCTCAGACTCAATGCGCTAGAACATCATAAAAAAGGCAAATCCTGATTTCAGTTGAGTCCTTATGTCTGTTTGATATCTTACCCTGTCTTTAAAATGCTGACACACCACCAACCACTGCCACACCCCGAGCATCCTAATTTTGCATTTTCCTCCAAACAGAGGCTTTCTGAAAGCAGGAGCCCCCCCAGTTGCCTGCTGCTACTGGCACTATCCCCTGCCCTGTAACCCTGATCAACCAAACTGTGCTCTTCTCATTGGCATCATCTGAAAGTTGTTCTCACCCTACAGACTCTGATAATTATTGGTTTCAGCAGAAGGAAGTATATACACAAATGATAATTCTGAGGCTGAAATCAAGCTCTGTTATTTTCATGCCATTGCTAACGTGTCCAGAGATTTATTAAAGCCATGAGTCAACCCCTGTCAGAAACCAGAGACATTGCTTGCAAATAGGCAACTTTGGTGTTTATTCCTCCTGTCTCCTCATCTGCCAAGCTGCACCAGGAAAGGGTGCCTTCTGATAAGCAACATGTCAGGCTAATTATCCACAGAGATTTTAAGCTGCATATTTTCTCTCTGGACTAATCTAACCCAGCTGTGGGAAAGGCATGGTTTTAATCAATGCTTCTATCTGCCCCTTGACACTTGGATACATGTGCATGCATAGGTATGTGCATCACCCAGTAAAATCACCGTGGTGCACACCATTAACAACCTGCCTGTCACATGCTGCCCTGTTTGGCTTTCTTTTACAGGATTTCAGTGCTGCCTCCAAACGAAGTAGTTCTGAAATGAAGCAAGTCCAAAGCCCAATAATTAAACAGGATTGTCAGTGGGCTTCATAGGACTTGTTGCTTCAGTGATGATGCTCACCTTGCTGTACCTACCGTGACCACCTGTGAGCTGGCAGGGTAGCTGGGAAACACAGGAAACGGGTAACAGCATGAACTGGAAGTATCAAGCTCCAATGCCCAAAATACACCACAGCATTGTCTTCAAATGGGAACAGCTTTGTTGTTAAAATCATTCTTCCTCTTCTGATTCAGCTTCTTCTGTGGAAGTCCTTACGCAGCTCTAAGCCAGCCCGTGCAGTGGGTGCCCTGCACACAGCAGGCAATGGCAGCAGGGCCCTGTGGATCCCCTCAGGAGGGCTGAGGGGCCCTGTCACAGCTCTGTCACATTGTGGCGTTCCCTGAGGATGTGGGCAAGAGCTCCTCCCGCTCCCTGAGTGCCAGGAGCAGGACAGAGACAAGACTGACCGGCCCCGCCATGCTGAGGTAAAATGAGGTAAAATGGCGCCCTGAGGGCACGGGGAGTGGAACCAGTGCCGGGCCCAGGGCTCAGCCAGGAGAGCAGCCTGGCTGCACATCCCCTTCAGCAAACCGTTAAACTTCAGTTTTAAAATCCTTTGGTTTTGGGTTTTTTGCCCCTTACACTGTGCTTTCCCATTGCTGAACCCGTAGGATGGTTCCTGGGGGCTCTTGCGTCAGACCAACCTCATGGCCGACATATATCCTTTGCAGCTGAGGGAGAATGATTCTGGACAACACAGACTTTAGGAACCTATTTGACTTTGTGTCTTTGCAAACTAATAAAAGTGGAGGAACAAAAAGCATTACCAGTTGAGGCAACATCACATTCCAAGAGGACATGTTTGAGAATACTGTCCTGAGGGTTGCGTGCTCATGCAGAACATGCTATATAGTGCATTTGTGAAGGTTTAATCTAGGGTCACGTGAAAAATACACACAAAAGAGGGTAGAAAAGGATTTCCTGGAGAAAAAGCAAGAAAATAATATACAACTACATTAAACTTATAAGATCATAATTTAAATAATGTCATTTAAATCAGCAGGAGTGGTCTGGCTTGTCACAAAGCGCTCACAGATGTGTTAAAGCAGCAAATGCAGCTTTAGAGTAACAAAGCATTTCAGTGTGCCCTAGGCCACAAGACAGAACAGATGAGGGGCAGATAGTGCTAAAAATTGTTGAAATAATTGATCTTATGCAATCTGTCTGTCACTGATCCCTGGGTATCGTTTGTAGTTTGTATGGGCACAAGCCACAGAGGTTCTGACACCGAAAGCACCGTGATGGGACAAAAGCAGTGTCGGAACATGCAAGAAGGCCCTTTAGGCTCCTGAGTTAATTAAGGGATTGTGAAAAATGCCTCCTGCCTCTTCTGAGAAGCCCATCATACTGCCCTTGTTTTTCATGTGTTAATGAAAAATGCATATACCTCTGGAAAAACAGCAATCCAGTGGCTTACAATGTCGGAAATATTTTCAAACTAACATCATGATATGTGTGACTGTTACAAATGATGCTCATTTTATTATCACCGAGGTTAGAGTGCAGCAGCGTGCTCTGCTCCAGGAATTTTTGGAGTAATGTCAGTGTTGGGTTTGCCAGCGGATTAAATAAAGGTGGAGAGATGCTATGAGAGATCTCTCCTTCAGAAGTGGTGGCTGGAAAAGGATAAACTCTCAACTGCCTGGGGATTTGCTACATCTTAAAGAGTGTTATGGTTCCATCATTCTCTCTGTAAGAGAACACGATGGGGTCAGTGGTGGCTGCAGACCCTGCAGTTCCAGCACTGATCTATGTGACTTCAGGGGGTGCTTTGGGGTAAATAATGAGTTTTTAACATTATTAAACAAGCTATTCACAATTTAACAAGCTGTTCAGTTACTTGCCAGCTCAGCAGAAATGCTTGTTGGAATCACCATCCCTGGAGGTGTTGAAGAAAAGCCTGGAGCTGGCACTTAGTGCTCCAGTCTAGTTTGACAAGATGGAGATCAGTCGAAGGTTGGACTTGATGATCTTGCAGGTCTTTTCCAACCTAAACGATTCTGTGATCTGTGTGATTCTGAGCAAATACTGAACTGGCTGGAGGATTAATATCCTGCTTCCAGCTCACAGAGAGAATCTTTTCCCTAAATTACTCCTTTATTTTTAATTAAAAATAAAAGTCTGAGTGTTGCAGTAAACTGTCCTACATTGCAACTTGCTTGGCATCCAGTGCAATGGAAAACTTGTCCTGCGACCTCTGATCGTTAAGTGAAATCTTAAAACAGCATTATTATAAATATTGCCAAATATTTCTGTGCTTACTTATCATCATCATATTTTCAACACTCTTTTCTTACTGAAAGGGAGCCCTAATCTACTAAAGACAACACTGACAGCTAGAAAACAATAGCCATTTGCACTTTAAATAGAGTCAGCTCCCCTCTGCAGACTACAGCAAAGAGGACTATTCTTTGATTTACCCCATTTTAGTTTCTTTTAAGCACGGGAGAATAGGAAATCAGAAGATAATTTCAGATAAGTTGGCACTATCTGCAAAGAATTCTATTAAAGCCCAAAAATGAATTTTTTTTTCACTTTTTATATTTTCAAGAGCAATATAAAAATTATGATGTTGGTTCAGACGTCAGGTAAGATCTGTGTTGGCAACTTCAATTCTTTTATTGGACATATGTTACTGAGCATTGAACACTTGTTTATGTAGGCAGGGATTTAAGAATAACACCAACAAAATCAAACTGATAAAGTGCAGACCTGCATGAGAACCAGGCCTGGTAACTCTGTCTACTCCTACAGCTGAGAAAACAAAAGGGGGAAAAAACTGCCATTATAAGACAAGAAGCATATTATAAATTATGGTCACAGAACTAGTCAACCTTTCCTGCAAGTTCCAGAGCACGGGAAAACCCAGGTCCCCTGTGTCCATGCACACCGTGTTTGTTGCAGGAAATATTTTAAGTTAGACTTTGGCTTACACAGTGGTTTATTTAGAAGAAAACTTAACAAAGTTGTACTGATTAAAACAGTTCTCTTAACACAGTTTGTTTATATATTTCAGAATTATGTTTCAGAATAAAAAATTATGCCCTTAAAACCAGATAACAACCTACCCCCAACACAGTAAGTTTCAGCAAACAGTGACCAGGAAAGGGTGAGTGGGGGAAGCCAGTGTGAGTCATGACTTGAGCGATGGTCTTTGCCAGATCTCATTCCTTGCATCAGAATTTTCTCCCTAAGAAGGATTTAGGAGATAAAAAGCTAAATGTAACATGTCCTTGTCTTTCTCCATCTCATAAGGGCAGTTTTCTAAAGTCCTTAGTAACAGAAAAAAAAAATATTTCCAGAGCTTTCACACATCCAAAAAAAAAAAAAAAAAAAAAAAAAAGGCAGAAAACAAGAGGGAGAATAAAAACTAATATAAGCTAAAACATTATTTTGCAGTAAACAATAGAATATAACGTGCAATAGTGCAATTTCTCCTTGCTGCTCCAGCAGTGAAGTCTTGGAAGAGAGTCCCCTGCGTGTCACCGTCCAGCACCCCCCGTCTAACTGCGTGTTTGCCGGGCACTGCTGGCTCTGCCGGGCTTCGGGGCCGAGTCACTGTGTCCGGGCTCTGCCTTCCCCTTCCCAAGGTGGCGGAGTTTCTGATCCCAGCGCTGCGGATCAAATGGCAAAAGACATCACAAGAGAGATCACAGAGGAAATAAGTTGTCTGTAAAACAAGCACAGCTCACAAACAGCAGCAGAAGGGGAAAAGCCGCTGCTGTTTCCATCACATCGCCCTGCGTGGGGCTCGGGGTGGAATGAGAGGTTACTGAGAAAAGTCACTTTAAACAGCAAAACCATTTCCTGGCTTTCCTGGAGCCTCTGTGAACGAAGGGGCTGACACAAGGCACAATGCCTTCAGCACAAAGGGGACCTACCTTCGAAATAATAAAATTTAAACAAAGCTACCAGTGCAGTCTTTGGGAGAAGCAGGATGAAAAAGCAGTCTAGTGATTTTTGTTAATTATTTATTATTTCTTTCTTTTTACTTTTGTGTAGGTAATAGCAACCACAGTTAAAAAAAAAAAAAAAAGGCATAATAAATATAGTTGGTGTAAGTGGTGATGTTCTTGGGAATGGAGATGATAATGAAAAATGGGCGGTGATGTGGCAGGGACCTTAGAAACCCCAAGCTGGGCACGAGGGCAGAGCCAACAGGTTGCAAACAACAAGGAAATAAGTGAGAAAATAAGTGAGTTCCCCCCTAAAAAAGCCCAAGAACTGGAACTGAGGAGAAGTCAGCCCACAGTGGTAACAAGGCATTTTCTCTGTGGCACTGGATTTCATAGGGTTCTGCCAAATCAAACAACAACTTGGAATAAGATCCTCATATCTTTTCCCTCCTGTAATCTCCACGAATGCGACAAATTGCACCGAAAATCTCGCATTTATAATCACAACAGTATTTTCCTGCCAGTGACCACTACACTGCTGAAGAAAGTGCTCGGTGGAAGAGAAGACTGGTTTGCACAGACACAACCATTATGGCAAATCAACAGCTGAGAAATTGTGGCAAAATAAGAAAATTCTCTGTAGGGTGACATTCCTAAGGTTGTCACAACCACTGATACTTTGCAGCTCATTAAACATAAAATGGCAGCTCATCCAGAACTTGGAAGGCATCAGAAAATGTGTAAATTAGGAAACAACAGAATGTGTTTTCATATAGAATTAGGGTTGTTCAGCCTGGAGAAGGTTCCATGGAGACCTCAGAGCACCTTCCAGTACCTAAACAGGCTACAAGAGAGCTGGAGAGGGACTTCTGACAAGAGCTTGCAGTGACAGGAAAAGAGGGAATGGCTTCACACTGACAGTATTAGGAAGAAATTCTTCCCTGTGAAGGTGGTGAGACCCTGGCACAGGTTGCCCAGAGACACTGTGGCCATCCCACCCCTGGAAGTGTTCAAGGCCAGGTTGGATGGAGCTCTGCACAACCTGGGCTACTGGAAGGTGTCCCCATCCATGAAAGGGCAGTGAAATGAGAGAATCTTTAGGGCCCCTTCCAACCCAAACCACTGTAGGATTTGATAATACTTCACTTGCATTTGAGCTCACTGCATCCAATTCACTATGACATGACTTCCCTGTCACTCACCTCCTTCAGCTAGGCCAGGAAGGTGAATTTAAAACAACTGCTAATCCACACAATTTGGTAAGGGAACTGTATTTAAAGAACACTAAATCTGGAAAGTATAATCCTGCCTTAGTCTGGAAAACATTTGTAAAGCCCTCTGTTTTTTTTCTTTAACTACTGTCACCCCAATTAAGCAGGCATTTTGTGCTGTGGAACACACAGCTTGCCTATGGAGTTAAAACACTCCTTCTGATCGCTTTTTTGAGACAGAGGTTTTGATTGCTGCTAAGCTAGGGGGCTTTGGGGTAATTCAATGTATCCCTTCTGTTTATTCATCATGCATTTCTATGCAATATAGCAAAAAACACAGCAAGTTTGTTTTTTATATATGGTATTAATTAACTGGAGACAGCACATTTTCTTCGTTAATTTTGAAAAGAGTAGGTAGATGTCTCATGGCACCTGCAACATTTGACTTTTGGGGAGGTGTTTCCTTACCTTCACTTTTTTACCGAGACGATCCTTCCACTTCTCAGCTATGGAGCCTTCCACCAGGAGTAACCTACACAACACAGACAACCAGTTACTCCACCAGTGGGCTGTGCAACCCAGCACAAGCAGGACTAAGATCCCCGTGCCCGCAGAGAGCCTTGACCCCCAAACACCGTGAAGGAGATGTTCATTCACACAGCCACTCCAAGTTTTTCTTTCCTTGTGGCTCTGAAGTTCAGCTTCACAACAGGGGAACAAATGACAACAGACGCGCTCCAAGGCCAGTGAAGCGGAGTTACCTGGAGCGCTCCTCGTCCTCGTAGCCCATAATGATGTACTCTTCATTGGCACTGAGAGGTGGGCACAGGCACCCAGAGTTCGTGTGGAGGTTTACAGTGTCCTTTGGGATGTTCACCAGGGAAGATTTCAGGATCTCCTTTACTTCCACTACCACAGTGACGTCGTGACATTTAGTCTTCACCTCCTTCACTTTAGCCCGAATGACTGAGAAAAAGTCACAAAGCGTGTCGTTAGGAGCAGCAAATACTGCAGGTCACCCCCAAGCCGTTCCTGGTGCCCCTGGGATTAGTCTTTAGCACGGTCCATTAACAGAAGCTTAGCTGAACTCCAGCAGCGTCCCTGCCCCCGTCTCTTCCCTTCATTACTTCACTCTCCACCAGAGGGTTCCAGGTAGCTCAGTGTTATCTCTTAATGGCACGGTCAGGAGCAAGAATTACGTACCAGTTGGCTTTATGTCCTGTTTAAGCTGGGCTCTGACTTTAGCATCCTTTCTTCTCCTCCCTAGCCACAATAAATATGTTTAATCCATTCTTTGTACACTCTCCTTCTCCCTTGAGCTGTTAACCGATCCCTCCTTGACTAATTGTAGTACAGATGACCAAACTTAACCTATCATTCTGAACCTTTCACAGAAAGTGAATGTGCATTAGAACTTCTCATATCACTACTCTGGCTGGATTACAGGCCCTTACCTTTGACCCAGCACCAATCTGCTCTGCTCTTTATGAACTCCAAATGCTCCTGATCTTGACCTGATGACCTAACTAACTGTTTCCTCCTTCACCCCTTCTTTTTAAGTTGTACAGGATGGAAGGTTGCTTCTCAAAGGCAAAGCTTTTCGTTTCTCTCATGGTGACCAGTGAACTGATACCACATGCAAAGGCAAAGCCAACCCAGAGCTCGTGCTCCAGAGAATGACACATCATTTACAGGGTACAAACACTACTTTCCTCTATGAATAGCAGGTTCCCCAGATTCCAAACATCATCTACCCTGTGTGAGAAAGGTAATGTAGAACAAAGAAAACCAGAGATTTACACATCTCCTCTCTTCACATGTGTTGCCCATAACAACCACCAACCAGCAGGTACTGCAGGCACAATAAATACAGTTGCCAACAAACACTAACTTGTACATTTAATATGCACAATTTACCCCAAATGATCCACTCCTTCAAGATGTCAAAACAAAACCTTGCTTTAGTTTGGAGTAATTTCAAGCGCATTTTGAAACCTCTTCAATTTCAAAAGCTTGAGAAGATGGGCAGCCACGTGCTGGAGACTCTGCCATGTGCAGGTACCTCTAGAGGATAGTCACTCTGCAATTTTTTTCCAAACAAATCCACTAAAACAATACTCAACTGACCAGTCACCTAAAAAATAACAGCGATGTTTAAATACAGTTATTTTTTTAGCTTTTAACAGCAACTATTTTTAAAAGAAGCTTGTCTGACAATAGTTTTATAAATGCAGTACCTTAATAAATATTATGCAATTGATACCATTTAAATAAAGCCTTTAAGTTCACTGACCCTAAGGCTCTTCATAAGATTAATGAGAAAAAGGAAGGGCCCAACTGTTCAGTTCCTGGGATAATATTCACTGGCTTCACCAGCCTAATTTGCTTGAAACAATCTGAATGAAGAAAAGTGGCAGCCTGGACCTGTGATATGCCTGAAGACTGGGACAGTCTGGACAAGGGAAGACATAACATGAACATGTGCAAAAGCTGAGAACATTGGAGCTGGAAATCCCAGAGGCAGTTCAGACACAGCAGCCCACAATGTCATTTTGGTCACATCACTTTTCACACTCAAAAAGTGCCTGAACCTCAAATATCTGCGCTGATACTGAGATAACAGAGACACTCTTGCACTAACACATTAAGCTAATCCCCTCCATCCCTCTAATTTGGAAACGTTGCGGGCCACATCTTCCTCCTGTAATAAGTAGCACTGGATTGTCCATCAGCAATTTGGAACTCGGGCTTTTTTACCGAAATTTTTCCCTTACGAAAGCTGGGTGCTGGCCATGCAGCTGCTCTCACCGTAGTTGTAGTTGTTGCGTAGGTAGGTCTTCTGGGTGGCTTTGACAGGCTTGCACTTGCAGCGGTCTATGGGAACAGAGAGCTTGGTTTAGAAAGAAAAGGGTGTGTGTTTAGTGACAATCCTCCCCAAACCTCAAGCTCACACCTAACAAAAATTTCACTGAATCCATTTGCTTATTACAGTGAAACGGTAAAAGCCACAGGGTCTGGTCTGTTCTGCTGGGAGAAGCAGAAGTATCCATGAGACCTTAAAGGTTTCTGGAAGAAAACCCAACATGTTGAAATTTAAAAAAAAAAACAAACCCAAACAACAACACAGCAACAAAGACACAAGGACCTAAAGTCCGAAGTGACAAAATCCCCCTCTTCAAGCCAATTCAAGGTTCTATCTTGGTGTCTCCTGTGCTGCCAGTGCTGCAATTCCATATCCTTGCAATCCTGTTCTCTCTTCTGTACTAGACTTAGGGAATGCCCTCCTTTCTGCACCTTTTTTCACACAGGCCATAACAGAGACATGGCAAGAAAATACAGTGACAGGGCACGACTTAATTTTTGCTTGGAGACTCTATCTCTGGTTGGTTTAGCACACTGGGATACTGTGGCCAGCAGGCATTCACAGAATCATAGAACAGTTTGTGTTGGAAGGGACCTTTATAGGCCATCTAGTCCAACTCCCCTTGCAACGAGCAGGGACACCTTCAGCTAGGTCAGGTTGCTCAGAGCCCTGTCCGATTCACCATAAGGAACTGTGTAAATTGTGCACCATTTTATTCTGACCCAGGACCCCAGGTATGCTTGAAACATTGAAATTCTCAGCCCTCGTGGCCGTAAGGACGATGGCCTTCGATAGACAGCACAAGTGAGCACTGTCAGAGCAGCGTTTCCAGCGGTGCAGCTGCCAGACAGCTGGAACTGTAACGGAGGAAAGAACGTTTTCATCGGTGCCCAGGGAGTGCTAACGCTGAGGCTCCAGAGCCACACGTTCATTAACACCCCCGGCATTTCATGGCTGGGTGTTCTAAGGCAAATATTGACTTATTTCACACTAGTGTTTAAGTGGGGTTTAGGGGAGGCATTTCAAACAGCAGGTCCCAGTACTTGCATACATGTGGTCATCTATTTTGACATTTGATTTGGCATTTAAATGGAAGGAGACTTAATGCAGCTTATTTCTATACACCATCACTCTAAATATCAAGGCATATAAGCCAGCGATTCAGTTAAATCCAACATGGTGAGTCTGAAAAAGAACTTCTATTTGCTACATAAGATTCCTGCACATTAAAAAAAAAAAAAAGATGGAATCATACAGTTACACACTTCTCAAATTATTATTTATTTTCTATTGAAAAAATTTTTGTAGGTGAAAATACAAAAAAAAAAAAAACCCACAGGAGAGAGGAAAACATTTCAAAAGAAAAGTATATTGTTTCCTTAAATTCCCAACACATCCTCAGGAATCTATATATGAGTCCTACAGACTTAAGCTTTTGTATGAGACTGTGTTAGAATAACAAAGGCAGAGAAGGGAAGTGATTTTTGGCTTCCTTTCTGCCTCTGGGAGCTCGTGCATACTGTAGGCCAAATTATGGCTCATTTTTAAGCTGCCTTGAAACACAGAATAAAAGATGTGCTCCTATGGCCCACACTCACATGTGCACCTCAGCACTGAAGTCCAACAAGTCGTACACTGTAATGTTCTCCTGCTCTACATATTTTGCTCTCTAAGTAGAATAAAATAGATTAAATTATGAGAAAAGAATACACAGCCTCACATTTCCCTCAGTATCGGATTATTGCATTAATTTGAGAATATATTTTATTAGTCTTGTTCTAGAAACAAATTATAGACCTGCCCATATTCTTGCTGAAAAATACTTCCTAGTCACCCTAGTGGTTTTTAAATTTACACTTCAAAAATTTACACTTTACAAAATGCTGCAGTATTCCCAATTACTGTTTAGAGATACAGAAACTAACAAACACAAAAGTAATTTGCCAAGGTCAGTTATAAAGTCAGAGGTGCAGCCAGAACCAACTCCTCTCTCCCAATTCCTGGCACAATGACTTTCCAAGGAAGCCAAACGGGAGTATTTGAGAACGTATATTTGATTGATGGACGTTTCTGGCAACACTGAGCTCTCCCCAGAGAGTGGAAACACCCACAAAAGGTGGCTATGAAAATGTACTGCATCCCCTGACTCTGAGGGAAAGTCCCATCCTACCTGATGGCCTCCTCTGAAGCTGCCAGAACTACCAGGAGAGCTCTGGGATCACAAGTGTTATCCCAAGCAGAGACAGGCAGCAGTGGCTCACACCAGTTCTGACTGATTTCAGCTGGGTGCCATTAAACGTTCTTTTTAACCAGTCAAGACACGACCAAGAACAGCTCAAAGTCTGCATCATTGAAAACTTTTTTCCTGTAAGTGCCAAAAGGAGTGGACTACACAGCAAAATGTTTTTCCCCGTGGATTGCTACCAAGAAACATTTTTGTCATCTTAAACACATATGTGCATGCACAACCACAAACCTGCCTGGAATACTGACCAATACAAGCAACCAAACCTGGCAAATGCTTCCCTGATAAATGAAGGATAAAAAAAGAAGCACTCGGGAAAAATTTCTAGGGGACTTGAAAAGCATCTGATGAAGCAGAAAACAATGTAGTTTACTGCCAAGAGAGGTAAAAAAAGCTCCACCTCCCAAAAAAACCCATGCAGACTTAGAGGGAATGTTTTGCCAGAGATAAAAGGTGCCACCATGCACAGCAGCACATGCAATAAGCTCCAGAAACCACAGAGCTGGGAAAGGGAGTTTTTTGAAAACGCATCAGTTTGCTACTTGCAAAACAAACAAAAAAAAAGGCTCTGTTTACAATGGCAAAATTACAAATTTACTTTAGTGAACATATAAATAAAGCTATTACAAAGCACAGCCTCTTAGGTGGTCAAACTGTGTTTGTCAGTTCAAAGAGGTGTAGCACGCTGAACCAGGAATCCTGTTTGTACAGTGGAAAGAAGTGATAAAGATATTCCCCTTCCTCTCCATCAGCAATTTCTTCTGGGCATTTTCACTCTATTTCTGGATGGGATTTTTGGGGTCTGGTTTTGCTTTAATAGTCGAAAAGCATCACAATAGCGACAACATGACCGAAACATTTCCACTGCAGGGTCGCTCACTGGCACTCCGTGTCCTCTGCACCCCTGAGGACAGGCAGCACTACAGAAGTGTTTCTCATTTCTGATAGGAGGTGACACTGAAGGCAAACAGCTCTGCTTTCATACTCACAGTGAAGTCTCTATGCTCTTTGCGCAGTCACTACTGAGCATGAAATCCACACTTAGTGCCACACAACTGAAAACAGCTTAAAACTATGAAGACACTAACATTAGTAACAAATGTCTTTAACAAGTCTGTCAGACATGGCCCATGCTCAAGGCAATTTAAAGCAAAGCTTGTTAAGGGACTTGCTTTCATCAGTTTTTCTCATTGTAGTTGGGTTTCTAAAGGACATGCACTGTTACTTAAAGAACACTTTGCACCTGCACAGCTGCTTTCACTATGAAAGGAAATATACTGCAATGATCACCTACAGATCACAGTTTAAATCTGTATTATAAACGGGGCATTATTAATACCTTTCTACATTTTGGCCACAGATTAATGCTGAAGTTATCCAGGTTTATGTAGATATCTAATTTCCTATTCCACATCCACACTTAGGTGTTTATGTTAATGAACTGAACATCAGTCCACACTACAGCTCATCAACAACCTTCTCCTCTGGAGAGGGAAAGACATGATTGCCAACCTCAGGTTTCCAAGTGTCGTCTTCTTGACAAAGGCCTAAGAGGAAAACTTCTGATAAAATTGTAGTAAACTTCAAGGAAACCTACAGTCACTGGTTGGTTTGAGCAACAAATCCACATTTCTATAATCATTAGCTACAGACCTTGGCTTTGCTGCTTTGCATTGCCTACGAGTGGTGATAACACTCAGGGGGGTTTCCTGAGTTCCAGTAAAAACCAAACAGAAATAAAAGAGCAACAGGGGACCTGCTGGAGTAAAACCAGCCTCGAAAGGTCTCACACTCAACCTCCTCAGGCTAAAGGGAGTTTTGCCACTATCTACAAAGAGTGCCAAATTTAATTTGCGAACTCTAAAGTCAGAACAAACCATTTGCTTACTGGTTTTGCCCAAAGAAAACCAATTTAATGACTATTCTCACTGCTCAGGACAGAACTTGTAATAAATTCAGCACAGCCCTCTTGATTTGACAGACACTTTGAGGCTGCCCAGCCCCAAATGCCACCTGCCCGTGGGATGCAAAGGCACAACCTGCAGGGTTCTTAGTCAAGAAAGAGTATTTTAACATCACTTAGTGCCCCTCTTACTCAATGAAATACTGAAAGTATTTGAAAGACTCCAGCTTATGATAAAGTTTTCTAGAAGTTTACTCACCGATGCCGGCGCCTCGACAGTTGCCGTTATTGGAATCCATAGGGAAATCTGGCATGGATTCATAAAATATGTAAAGAAACATTACTATTTTCAATATGGCATTATTTCCTTACACACATGTTACAATGTTTTCTCTTTCTCTAGTATTTAGTCTATTAAAACTTAAGCACTTCATTAATAAACAGAGTGTAATGTTCTACAGGCCAGTCTTGAAAAGTTGATACGAATTTTTTTTTACCTGCATTTCACCTGAACCCAGCACATCATGTTAAATGATGAAGCAGATTAAATATTCCATTTCCACCGGTGCACACACTGGCAGGTTTTAGACAAGGACTGAAATTTATGGCATGAACTTAGGGCTGCTACAAAAAGTACATGTACTGTTTGCATTTTAATTAAATGATGAAGGAGAAATTACTTTTTGTTTGTTTTTTTGGTCACTGAGAAAATCAAACCAACCAACCACAATCATATCGTTGAAGAAAATGCCAAAATAAATGTTTAAGGCCTTCCCCTTCCCTTCAGTTTAAAAACACACTGATTATTTTGAAGGACAGATAAGGAACAGAGGGAAAAAAAGGCACTATGCCCAAAGAACTGCTTCCAGACACATTCCTCGTAAGGGGAATGTGTCCCATATTAGTAAAACACATCATTTCAAACCTCTTGTTTATTAAATCACACAATCGAATGGGTTTATACATATACTTAATAATTAAAAACAAGTATGTTAATGCATATAACGTTGCGCTAATTAAGGACAAAATAAAAGCAAGAGGAACAAGGGTTGGGAGAGAGGCAGGACACTTCACTGAAATGGCACAGCAAATGGAAAAACAAACAAGCTTTCAAAGAAAAGGCCTTCCTTCAGTGTTGCATGCCCAGTCAGTTATGCTATTTTCCCAAGTCTGGAAGCTGGTATCCTACAAACATCACCTTTCTTGTGACCTTATATTATCATGGATGCAACACCCCTGCTTTTACAATGCAGGACAAACGAACACGTGACCATGGAACAAAATCTTGCAGCCTGAGCTGGAAGGATCTGGCTGTGAGACAGCCCAGGATGCTGATGATCCTCAGTACAGGTGAAGGCTTTAGATGTGTGGATTAAATGTTAAGGGATTGGGACCATTATTTAATCACAAATTCTGTAAATACGTTATTTAAAAGCCTGTTTACAGGAAAATTTATATTACTTGAAATAACCTAATTTTGCCATCCTTCTTTAAAAAATTTTAAAGTCTTCATCTTAACGAATATTTATACTACTTATAGCAATGTGAAATTTCATTAACATAAAAGAAGCACATGGCTAAATCACAGTCAGGGCAAGAATAAAACTGAAAACCAACTCATTTTCCCACAAAACAATTAACTTCAAAAAACTGAGACTTCAGGAATAATTATTCTAACCAATGTAAAGGGCAAAGGGTACATAAAATATCACAGAAGGATTGAGTAGATGCTCCTGTATATCCAAAATCCTGTCGCTAATAAAAAAAAAAAAAATCACATCCATTTTCTTCCAAAGAAAGTTCCAAACTACCACAGGATCTTAGTTTATAGAATAAACCCAACATTTTCATGAAGCCAATTTGGTTTTTGCTTATCAGGAATTTCCACAGCAGCCCTGAGGCTTCTCTGTGTTGCCTTGCAACAAGTCAAATTATACAAGCTGATTCTTACTTACATAGTTTATTTTAATTATTCACCTGAGCTACTCTCAAGTGCTAAGAATGCATTTTATGCTGTATCAAGTGCTTTCCTGTATTCCAGAACACAATGAAAGAGGAATTAGAATGGTTGTCCTTTTGTAAATAGCCAGCAAAAGGATGATCACATAAAAAAGAAATCCTTTATCTCCAGGGCAAATCCTCTGTTGTCTTGTTTATTTAGTCAAGTCGCAGCTTTAAATCTACAATTCCTTCTGATGTGGTAAAAGCCCAGGGAGTGTGCAGGTCTCTGGTCTGATAATCCTCCCATCTGCTCCTGTGCAGACAGAAGTCTGAGAAACCTCCCAGCCACCACCCATGGAGAGGTGGCTCTGCCTCTTCATCACAGAGGAGACAAGGGAAGTATCAGATGAAATGCTTACCATCTTCCACCCATGGAAGGAAAAAGGAGCCCTGAAGTACACTCCCCCTTCCTAAAGCAAGGGCTGATGCAAGTAGTCATGGCTTCACGGTGCTTGAGGCAACCAAGCCCAACTCACACTGAAATTACAACTGAAAATAAACCAGAGCCCAGTGAGGGGTTTGCAGCCTTCCCTGGCCCACAGGGGGTGTGATGC